AGTATCTCTGAGTTTGTTTTCATTAGGACTAGTAAGAACATTATTAAACAATAAAAAAGATAAGTGGCTTGCAAAAGCCAGACCAGGAATAAAATGAGGGTGTGGAGATGAACAGTGAAGTGGGATAAACGAGGCAGTGATACATCTGTTCTGCCAGTCCAGTGTCAGCCTCAACAAACACCAGCTTCCAGACCAACTCTGACACTGGTGATCTCATGGATGTACATCTCAAATAATGGGCAGTTGGCAAGTTGCTGACAAATGGAACTATCCATTATATGGTTTCTTTGGAACAATCCTTCCCAAAGTGTAGTCCCCACCTGTGTAAATCAGAATCCCCCAGCCACTTGTTAAAAATTTATATTTGTAAGTTCTATTCTTGATCTGCTGAGCTAGAAATGCCAGGGGTTGACTTGAGGGATTTGCTTTGCTAAAAAGCAGACTAAAATTTGAAAATCTTTGCCTTAGATCAAAGTGTGAAGAAAAGATTGAAGGAAATCCTGTCTGACATTAAGTTCTTAAGAAGGGAGGAAGAGGTTGCATCTTAGGTGAAAAAAGGGAGGCAGACAAGCTCCGTAGGTTTTTATCTCCGTTCTGACAACTATAGATTTTAAGCCAAACCAAAGTGTGCTCTAAAAACACATGCTATATAATCCTGGTGAGTGTCTGTATTACAGCCTCAAAAGTCAGCCTGCTTCTAAGTTAATGCACTCTGCCAGGCACTCAGGATGCCAAAGATAAACTCTGCATCTTCCTAGAAGAGCCAAGGAGGTAAACTAGCAGTTGAAATATTATATGGTCCACAGTGAGATGCAACTTTACACCCACTAGAATGGCTATATTCAAAAAGACAGATAGTGACAAGTGTTGGCAAGGATGTAGAGAAACTGGAGCCCTTATATATTGCTTGCTAGGTAAATTATTGGAATGTAAAATGACTACCTCTTTGGAAGACATGTTGGCATTTCTACAAAAAGTGAAACATAGTTACCATCTCTCCCAGCAATTCTACTCATAGGCATATACCCAAAAGAACTGAAAATATATGTTCACATGAAAATTTGTATGCAAATGTTCATAGCAACATTGTTTATGACAGCTAAAAAGAGAAAACCCAAATGTCCATCAACTGAAGAATGAATAAGCATGATGGGGTATACACATGAAATGGAATATTATTTAGTAATAAAAAGGAATAAAGTACTGATATATGCTACAACAGGGATTAACCTTAAAAACATCATGCTAAGGAAATAAGCCAGATACAGAAGGGCACATTATTCCATTTACTTGAAATATAGGCAAATTCATAAAGTCAAAAATTAGATTAGTGATTGCCAGGGATTGGGGGAAAGAAGGCATGAGGAGTGACTGCCAATGGGTACAGGTTTCTTTTTGGGGTGAGAAAAATGTTCTAGAATTAGACAGCGGTGATGTTTGCACAACTTGGTGAATATATTAAAAGCTACTGAATTGTGCACTTTAAAAGAATGGATTGTGTGATGTATGAATTATATCTCGATTTAAGTGATAAAAGAAATGGCCAAGAAAAAGTAATAAAATTGACTACATTTTAAGAATGCTATGTGTGGTAGAGACACCATCTAGAGGTAATTAGAGGCCACACAGCACCCCCGCAAAAGGAAGGGTCACCACCTATTTGGTAGGGTAGGAAAATGTTAGGGAAGACTTCCCCAAGGAAGACTTTAAGAATGAGGAAGATATCCAAAGGCCAGTCGACACTGAGGGACAGTAATTGGGAATGACAAGGCAGTGGGAGCGCTGGTAGGCAAAGAAACGAAGAGACGAAGGCACAGAAGAGAGCAAGAAGAGGCTTGAGGGATTCAAATCCATGGAGAAAAGATGAACTTTCAAGTAAGTGATGCTGGGATAACTGGAGAGCCATATGAAACAAAGATAAAATTGCAATCACTCCTTATACCACATACTAGTATTGATTGGAAGGGATTCGAGGTTTAAATAATTTTTAGGATGAAACCATAAAATACTAAAAGTAAACATGAGCAAATTCTTCAGTAACTAGGAATGATGAAAACTTCCTTGACTATGACTCAAAATCCAGGAAAAAGATTGAGAAATTTGACGACTTGAAGCTAATGAAGCCTCTAGATCTAACTACCAGTTTGCAGGCAATACAGGAGATCAATAAAACCTGTTCAATGACACTGCATGGTGCAATCAGCAAAATCTGGAATGTGGGTTCTTCTACAGACTTGTATTGTTGTTTTGTGAGCTGCTTTCTTTAACAAACAAGTGTCCCCTAAAAGGAGGAAAGGGTACCCTTCGTATTAAAAGAGATTCAAAAGACATATGAACCAAATAGAATGTTCGAATACAACGGATCTTGTTCATGCCCAATTTTTTTTTAACTGGAAAAAACATTTTGAAACAATTGAAAAATTCAAACACTATGTGAATTTAAATAATGTTTAAGATTATTAATTTTATCAAATCGGATAATGGTGTTGTATTTAAGTTAAAAAGATAAGGGTTCATGCCTTAGAGATATAGACTGAACTGTGGTGCAGATAATGATACAATCTTTGGTGTGTTTGTTTGTTTGTTTGTTTTTGATGGAGTTTTGCTCTTGTGGCCCAGGCTGGAGTGCAATGCGTGATCTCGGCTCACTGCAACCTCCACCTCCCAGGTTCAAGCAATTCTCCTGCCTCAGTCTCCCGAGTAGCTGGGATTACAGGCAGGCACCATCACACCCAGCTAATTTTGTATTTTTTGTAGAGATGGGGTTTCTCCATGTTGGTCAGGCTGGTCTTGAACTCCCGACCTCAGGTGATCCGCCCACCTCAGCCTCCCAAAGGAGATTACAGGCGTGAGCCACTATGCCTGGCCTGGTGTGTACTTTCAGATAATCCAGTGGTGGGGGTATATGGGAGATAGGAGGTATAAATTAAATATATTTGTTAATAATTATTAAAACTGGATAAGTACATGAGCACTCATTATAGTATTCTTGTTACTTTGGGGTAAATCCAAAAACTCTTCAGAGCCACTGAAGGGGAATGAGGAATGACAGATGAAACTGCCCTCCTAGCAAGTGCAGCCCTGGGGTCAGAAGACCAGATAGGGGACTATCAAGGAAGGTCACTGTGATGCAAGACTGAGAGAGTGTCACTCCGGGTGGAGAGGAGGGTCTGGGTGTGAACAGTATTAAGGAGATGGAAGCAAGGGAGCTAAAGAAGCAGGAATCAAGGATGAATCTCCAGCTTCAGGCTTAGACGAATGGCTGCATGGTGGGGCCATTCAACAAGCAAGGGAATTCAGAAGAAATTAAAGTTAGGAGTGAAGGGAGTGATGGATTCCATTTCAGACACTTTGAGTATGAGGTGCCTGTGAAGATTCAGAGCTTCAGAAAGAAGTCTCAGTAGAGATATGTGGCAATTCTCAGCTGCAGCATAATTTCCATGGAAACATGTAGGGTGTAGGCACAAGAAAACTCTCCCTTCAGAGCGAGCACTTCCTATCCAATTAGTAAGTTACTCTTGGGCTATTTTAACATTTAAAAAGCAATGCAGTGGCTTGATTAAGGAGAATGATATGAGATATCCAAATGGCAGTATATGACATCTATGCTATTCTGTTTCCTCCCAATTTACATTTTGAATGCCCAGATCATTAGGGCTTAATTGCAGGATTTTCTTGTTTTATTTTCTTTCTCCTAATAAAGAAATTTTCAAGAGAATACTAAGGCATTAGAAAAACAAAATCTCATGTGGAAGATCAAATTTTTTTGTTGTTGTTTTTACCCTATCTCTCTTCTATTTTGTTCTCTTCCATGTTGCCTATGGTATTATAAAAATTGAAAGAAGGCCAGGCACAATGTCTCACACCTGTAATCCCAGCACTTTGGGAGGCCGAAGTGGGCCAATCACTTGAAGTCAGGAGTTTGAGACCAGCCTGGCCAACATGGTGAAACCCTGTCTCTACTAAAACTACAAAAATTAGCCGGGCATGGTGGTGCACGCCTGTAATCCCAGCTGCTTGAAAGGCTGAGGCACGAGGATCCCTTGAATCTGGGAGGTGGAGTTTGCAATGAGCCAAAATTGCACCACTGCACTCCAGCCTGGGCAACAGGGGGAGATTCTGTCTTAAAAAAAATTGAAAAAAAAGATTGAAAAAAAAAAACAACCAATACCATCTAGATCCAAAGTCACTTTCAATCTCCTGTCTTTAAAATAACCATAATAGGGTTAAATTCTTAATAGGGTTGACATATGCGAATTCAGAAAGACCTATGGAGTTACTGATGTAAAAAAAGCATTTTGTGTCAAGGATTGATTTATACCTCAGAGCAAGACAAAGAGAAGAATACTCCGCCCTGTGATATCTGTTGCTGGGGAAGCGTCATGATTTATTGTTGGTGGGAGCACCAGGCCATCTGTTAGGCTTTAATAAAATGTGGTCATAATATTTTTTATTTGAAACACAGAATGATTTACCAACCCAAAATTAAAGTTTTTCAGCAATTGAAGGTCTTGTAGGATTTGTTTTTGAAGGAGGGTGGCTTTGTGAACATTGTTATTTTTAGCTATTTGTATCTTTAGCATTTATATTCAAATAAGAAGAAAAGCACATCAGTATCTTTCTTTTTCTGTTCTGGGTTCATTCTCAAAATCTTGTGTTGCCTGGTCAGTTCAAACTCCCCAGCTTGCTGTTTGAAGGCTCCATAATTTAGCCTCATCCAAAATTAACTGAATCAGAATTTTGGCAGCTTGGATTTAGGCATCATTTTTTAAAAATCCCCCATGCAATTTCAATGTGCAATCAAAGTTGAGACCCACTCTGGTTACAATATGAATGAGGAGAAACATCTGGGACATTTGGATTATCTATCATGAGAAGAAAATGTCAGAAATTATAGTGTTTCTGAGCCTCATATGGCAGCTATGGGGTATGGATGCATGTGCCTTGTGCGTGTATGCATATGTACATTTTACATTACCTCTTTCTACCCTCTCCTGCAGGTGACTGCCGTGAGGGTGTATGTGAACAGCTCCTCTGAGAATCTCAACTACCCAGTCCTTGTTGTGGTTCGCCAGCAGAAAGAGGTGCTGTCCTGGCAGGTTCCTCTGCTCTTCCAAGGACTGTAAGTGGGTTTTCTCCCAGGCAACTTTGCTACATTTGGTTTTCTCCAGTGTCCTAGAACTTAACTGATCTTTTCCCTAACGAAAGGAAAAATCAGACATTTGGAATGTCGAGACATTCTGCATACAAAGTGCAAATACTGATCATGGTGCATGCCCTGACCTGTTCGCTCTGTTGAATTTTTGGATGAGCACTCTACCTAGATTGGCAACACCTAGAAAAGCTTTTACCGTTTTAAAATCATACCATGATATTCTGTAGCTTTTGGGTACTGGGTTGACCAATAGCCATCCAATGGGCTATGTCCAGCAGTTAACATAAATGAGTAACTCTTCCCCTAATTCTTCATTCAATAATATTTATTGAGCACTATTAAGTGGTGGGTGCTGGAGAGACAGCAGTGGAAAAACAATGAAGTGCCTGCCCTCCTCAAGTTTATATTTTTTTCAGTGGAGAAGTGTACAAGGGACTATTGCACTAAAAAAAAAAAATCCTGGAAGGCATGCAAAATTGTCACATAACATTATTTTTAAAGGTTGAAGAATTTGAGGATTAAAATACTAACTCTGATAGCTTTGACTTGGACTCCAGGGCTTTCTTTACTCTTATTTTAGCAACAGCTTGAAGAGTGGAAAATGGAATCAGCTGGTTGTTTTATCAGGACAGCTTTCCCCTCAAATTGGATATTTATTCCTCATTGAATTTGAAGAACGGCTTAGCGTAATGTAGACACCACTTAAGTGAACTGGTCAGCACAAAACAGTCTTCACAGCCCTTTTACCATATCCTACAACCCAACACCAACAACACTAGTTCTAAAATTACTATTGATAGTTCCAGTCTAAAAATCAAAACATAAGGACTTGAAAACAAATTTGGAGAAAAGCAAAATGAGATAGGCTCCTTTCCCTGATCAGTCATTGAGTCTCTTTCTTGTTCTTATTGATTTTTTTCCCCCTGTATTGGCTACTTCAGATACCAGAGGAGCTACAACTACCAAGAAGTGAGCCGTACCTTATGTCCCTCCGAAGCAACCAATGAAACAGGACCCTTGGAGCAACTGATATTTGTAGATGTAGCATCCATGGCACCCCTGGGTGCCCAGTACAAACTGCTGGTTACCAGGCTCAAGCACTTCCAGCTCCAGTAAGTGGGATTTTCTCTGTTCACCTATCTGTTCTTCCTGCACTTGTGGATCCTCAATTCCTCTTCCATCCTTACAGACTGGTACTCTGGAAGGAAATTATCCACTTAGCGTATGATTTTAGCATCTCCTGAACTCTCCTTCCCATAACTGAGCAGCAGGGCCTTGGTCTACACAAAAGAGAGGGAGTAGAGGACTACTGCAGAGGGTAAGAGTGATTGACCTCACAGGTGAATCTGTTTTCAGGGATCGGGGTGAGGGTTCTGTCCAGACTGCAGTCCAGGCAAGAATGATTGGTGACTGAATACTTTTGTATTCCCAACCAGTGCCACACTCCTGAAGGAGGTTTTTTGTTTTAGTTCTAGGGAAGGCATTAAGCTATTTTTCTTGTCCTTATTATTATTCCTGTTTTCTCCTCCCAGGTTAGTAACATAGGTAGGAATGTGGCTTTGTCCTTTCTTGGTGTGCCTAGTACTGTTTTTCCCCTGTTTTTTAAAAAACTAAAATAAACAGGCAAGCTCATAAAAAAAAAATAAGCATGAGACTTGGACACTTCACTAAAGAAGCTACCAAAATGGTCGAAAAAACACAACCTCATTAGCTATAAGAAATGTAAATTAAAGCCATAACGTGATTCCATTACAAGTACCAAATTGCCATAACTTGAAAGGCCTACATTCTACCCCTTTGATGTATACCCAACTCCTAGATACCTAATTGTAGTATTTATTCAATGGGATACTACACAAAAATAAAAATGAAGAAGCTATTGCTATACCGAACATGGATACATCTCACAATGTTGAGAAAAGGAAGCCAGGCCAGACACAGTGGCCCACACCTGTATCCCAGCACTTTGGGAAGCTGAGACAGGTGGATCACCTGAGGTCAGGAGTTGGAGACCAGCCTGACCAACATGGTGAAACCCCTCTCAAACTACAAAAAAATTTAGCTGGGTGTGGTGGTGGGTGCCTGTAGTCCCAGCTAATCAGGAGGCTGAGGCAGGAGAGCGCTTGAACCCAGGAGATGCAGGTTGCAGTGAGCTGAGATCCCGCCATTGCACTCCAGCCTGGGTGGCAGAGTAAGACTCCATCTCAAAAAAAAAGAAGCCAGACAAAAGGAACGTATGCTATTTTATTCCATTTATATAAAATTTAAAGACAGGCAAAGCTATTCCGATGTTAGAAGTTAGAATGGTGGTACCTTTGGGGAGGCGAGAAGTGCATGATTATGTTTATCTGATGATAATTTTTTCAAATATGTGCTTATAACTGCACACTTTCCTATAATACATTTGTTATAGTTCAATTAAAAAGTTAATTTTTAAAAATCAGAATATTTCAAAATAGTATATGTCACTGTTTTGCAGCTTATTTTTCTGATCAGAATGTTTCTACAGTAAAGTTCTCCTTAAATTTAATGCAGTTTATAAAGACATCTGTAGACAGTAGAGTTACTAATAGAACTCAAATATTTATCTTGGTCTTCTCTGCACTCCTTGACATAGTGTTATACCCATACAGAAAGATGGGCAGATGAATGAATGAATGGTCAGAAGGATGAAGAAGTAGTCACAGCATTTTTTTCCAAGTGCCTCCATTAATTCTGGTGTTGAAAAGGTGACATGATAATTTTAAGAGCCATGAACACTCTATCCTCCACAAGAACAAGGAGAAAAAGATTCTCTGGTGAATAAGATCCTCCCAGAGCAGTTAAATCGGAGGCTCTAGGTTTGGGCACTGGTAAATTGTTTAAAGTTCCCCAGGTGATTCTAATGTGTAGCCAGAGTTGGGAACCACTATCCTAAAGCAATTTTAAATATGGTACTTCAGTTTAATTTAATATATAGTTTTTGAGACCGAGTCTTGCTCTGTCACCAGGCTGGAGTGCAAGTGGCATAATCTCGGCTCACTGCAACCTCCACTACCTGGTTCAAGCAATTCTTGTGCCTCAGCCTCCTGAGTAGCTGGGATTACAGGTGTGTGCCACCACACCCAGCTAATTTCTGTATTTTTAGTAGAGATGGGGTTTGACCATATTGCCCAGGCTGGTCTCGAACTCCTGGACTTGAGCAATCCACCCACTTCAGCCTCCCAAAGTGCTGGTATTACAGGCATGAGCAACCGTGTCTGGCATAATAATAATTTTAAAATCTACTTATGATATTTAACCGTATGGGAATACACATTTGATGGGAGTTACACGTTTGATGGGAGTGGCAACACGTTACTGTACTTGCACAGATCGCAGTTTGAACTGCAGAGAAGCCTTGCCTTTATCAACTGATCTGTCTTTAATCAATCAATAAAGTGTCACCTGGTAGCAGTGGCAGTGCCACTTGGTGGTAGCATATTTCACTTGTAGGAACGGTCTTCTGTAAGGTTAATAGAGCCTTTCGAGAACTGAATTCTGTGAAAATAGAGTCACAGCTGTAGTAAGTGATAATGAATTATTTGCATGCAGGTGAAACTGCAAATCTATTCCCTCACGTTGTTTGCTGTTTTTAACCCATAATTGACTTAGCCTCAGCAAGCAGACTTTAAGAGTATTTCAAAATCACATATTTACTAGGGCTTTTTATAAGAACAAGATAAACCTGAGAAGAGATGATAGTTAAGATATATGTCTCTTCCTCCCTGGGTCCAGCAGCCTTGCTGGTGACTTGGCAATCCAGAGGATGAGATGATGGGGAAGAGCTGAGTATTGTGATGAGAACTGGGCTCAGGCATTGAGAGAAACACTGAAGTAATTCAAAATCTCTAAAATTGAAGTTTCTATTATATGTTTTTGAATGGCAGACTGTAATGTATATAGAACACATTTTGGGAATTTTTACCCCTAGAATCATACATTTTAAGAATTGAAGGACCTTTGGGAAGCTAATCCACCTGCCTCAGTTTTACAGATGAGCAAACTAATGCTCAGAGAAGTTAAGTGACTTGTTCAAATTTACACAGCCAGGAAAAGGCAAAATCAAGACTAAACTGTACTTCCAACTCCCAGTTCTAAGCTCTTCTCACCTTAACATGCTATTTTTACTTTCTACTTAAAACTGTTCTCCCAATTTTTTGTGTTTCTCTAAATACGTTTCTTGATTCCATAAAACATTTATTTAAATCCAACTTTACTAGCGGAGCATGGTGGCTTCTGTCTGTAATCCCAGCTACTCAAGAGGCTGAGGCAGGAGGATAACTTAAGGCCAGGAGTTCAAGACTAGCCTGGGCAACATAGTCTGTAAAAAAATTAAAAATAAGAAAATTAGCCAGACACGATGGTGTATGCCTATAGATCTAGTTACTCAGGAGGTGCGGCAAGAGGACTGATTGAGCCCAGCACTTTGAGGCTGCTGTGAGCTATGACTGTGCCACTGCACTCCAGGCTGAGCAACAAAACGACACCCCCATCTCTACAAAATTCCGTTAAAAATGAATCAACTCTGCTTTAAAGCATTACTGCCTGCCGTCTACTTATCCTCTGCACACACACACACACACACACACACACACACACACACACACAGCTGTGCCACTACTCTTTTTCTACACTCCAGTGCCCAGGTGTTCAGTGTTATTGGAAAGTGAAATTACAGGTGGGGAACAGCAGATAGCTACAGAAACAGGCAAGCATGTGGTCATGGGGTAGGAGGATCTTAGGAAGGGCATTAGGAAATTTACACAGGCCTGGTGCGGTGGCGCACACCTGTAATCCTAGCACTTAGGGAGGCTTAGGCAGGCAAATCACCTGAGGTCAGGAGTTCAAGACCAACCTGGCCAACATGGTGAAACCCGTCTCTACTAAACATACAAAAACTAGCCTGGTGCAGTGGCACATGCCTGTAAACCCAGCTACCTGGGGGGCTGAGGCAGGAGAATCACTTGAACCCAGGAGGCGAAGGTTGCAGTGAGCCAAGATGGCACCACTGCACTCCAGCCTGGGCCACAGAGCAAGAAAAAGAGAGAAAGAAAGAAAGAGAGAAAGAAAGAGAAAGAAATTTAAACAATTGTCTATATTGTGATAGATGTGTGGAGCATGGATTTGAAGAGGACAAACAGGATGGAGAGAAATTAGAAGGCTGATGCAGTGGTCAAGATAAATAATGAGGAAGTGAATTGAAATATTAAGAGATGTGAAATTGATGAAATTTGATTAGATATGAGGGGAAAGAAAAAAGAGTCATTGTAGCTTATAGAAAGTGGGGCCACTAAGAGGAAATGATTAGATGATAACTTCACTTTGGGACAGGTTGAGTTTGAAGTACAGATATCTGGCAAAGTGTTGCATATATACTAACGTGACACTAGGGGAGAGCTCTGAGTTACAGTTAAGCAGACTAGTGCTGTCTTCAGGAGCACATGGAGAAGCCTGGTCCACGTGATGCCTAGGCAAGATGGAGTTACAGGAGACAGGGCTGGGGAAACAGGCACTGCCCAACTTTGATCTTTAAGATGTTGGATGCTAGACTATGGAGCAGAACTTCATGTTTCAGGTTATGGGAGCCATTAAAGGATTGTGAGCAACAGAATAGCATTAACAGATCTGATTTCTAGAGATGACTTTAGAGGCAGCATGGAAGACGAATTGCACAGAGGAAAGATGAGGGGCAAATAGGCAAATGAAAAGTTATTTGAATGGGGAAGAATAAAAAGTGATTCAAACTTGAATGTATATGGCAGCAACAAGGTTGTAAGGGAGAAAAAGAGTCAAATAGTACACATGGAGATAATTCATAATTCAGCAAATATTCTGGTGGCAGAATAAAATTTTAAGTCCTCCATGAATATTTGCAGGCTTCAACCCTTCCCTAGCCTGCTAAGTAGGGATCTTGAGTCTGTTTTAAGAGGAGAGAGTATGTGAGTGAGATAGCTCAGCTACTATGCTGTGAAAAGTAATAGATGTTTTTGAAGAAATGAGTGGAGAAGAGGTTTTTAGACATTTTGCTGTGTGCCATACTATATAATCACCTTTTGGTAGTTTGGAGGAGACTGCAATAAGGATTTACATTACTTTTTTTTCTCTTAAGGATGCTGTACTGGGAAAAGATGGTGCTGCAGGTGGAGGCAGGTTACTTTCACACTAATAGAATGAGTAGGACCTGGTGATCAATTAGGTGTGGAAGGCAATAGAAAGGGGTAGTCCAAGATGACCCCTACAGTGACGTCAGAAGTCTGGTGAGGTTTACTGACAAAAGGACATAGTAGGTCAGGATCAGGAAAGTAACATCACATTCCCTTTTATAATGTGGAGTTTGAGGTGCTCCAGGGATGGTCAAGTGCAGAAGCTCAGCAGGGGACCACGATTCTGACTGGAGCTCAGGAGATGGCCCTGGGCTGGATATAGAGCCTTGAGATTCACTAGGATCATTGTGGTATTTACAGCAGCTGGATACATATTTTAAAATGAGATGATCAAGAACAAAGCTGTGGGTAACATTCTTATTTAAGGGATGGTCTGAGAAACTGGACCTATTATAAGGGGCTGAGTAGACACAGCCAGAGGTGTGCAAGAAATCATTGGGGGTTAAGTCACTGGATTTAGCAATTAAATGGTGCTATGGTCTCAATGTTTGCGTTCCCCAAAATTCATACCAAAATCTCCACGGTGATGGTACTCGGAGGTGGGGCCTTTGGGAGGTGATTAGGTTGTGTGAGTGGAGCCCTTGTGAATGGGATTAATACCTTTATGAAAGAGTCCCCAAAAAGGCCCTTTGTCCTTTACACAACATGAGGATGTAGTGAGAAGGCACCATCTACGAGGAAGCAGGCTCTCATCAGACACCAAATCTATCGGCACCTTGATCCTGAACCTCCTAGCCTGTAAACCTGTAAGAAACAATAGATTTCTGTTCTTCATAAGCCACCCAGTTGACAGTATTTTTGTTATAGCTGCCTGAATAGACTAAGACAGGAGGTGACTGTTACCTTAGCAAAGGCTATTACAAGAGGGTGGTGGAGAATGAATCCTGATAGCAGTGGGTGGAGGAAAGAATGAAAGAGATAAACATGGAATACTGCTAGAAGCAGCTGGTTTGTGAAGAAAGGATGGATATAGAATGACATTAAAGAATGGAGATTCAGGGGAAAGGGAGGCATTTGGATGGGGCATTTGTTATTTATTTTGAAAATAGGTGAGACTAGAATATATTTATAAACAAAGAGGTAGAAAGGCAAATTCACTTGATAGGAGAGTTGGATATTTGTAGAAGCAAAGTCCCAGAGAATGATAGAAAGAATGGGAATTTAGTACATGAGTGTGGAGTTTATACTCAGACCAGAGGAATGACGGGCAGAGGGTTACCGACAACAAGAAGGTGGGTGGGAAAGCTGCAGTCCTGAAGGGAGTCCGTGGCAGATGGCAGGAGGAGAGAACAGGGAATGACATTCTAAAGTTCATAGTTCAAGTGAATAAGAGGATATAATTTCCTTCAACAAACAAAGGAGGGGTTTGGAATGCCCACTGCGCTCTGTGCTAGGGGCTTGTTAATACAAGATGAGTAAGATGCTGTGAATCTCACAGTCCTGTCTGGTACTCACCTCGAAAACTACTGAAAGTTTGTCCTGCCTCTCTTTCTACTTACTCTTTCCTCCCACCCCTTTTCTTTTTCTTCTACTTTATTACTCTCCTGTCTATATTTCTTATCCCTCTCTCCACCTCCCCCATAGGCCCCACTCTGCCGCTTCTCCTGACTTCCCTATCTGCACCCCCGTCTCTCAATACATCCATTTTTTCCCTTCTCTCCTTTCTTGAAATAGCCAACACAAGGAAACAAATTGTTTTTTAGCCTCTTATGTTTAACAAATAAACATAACATAAACATGTTAAAATGTGTTAAATTTTTAAAACAAATCAGTTGAAATTTTTATACTTCTTTTTCTAAAACTAACAATGCATGAGTTTCAGTTAGCTTTGTTCTGTTGTTGATGACCCATGGTAAAATAAACTTTCCCCACCTCTGTTGGGTCCACGTGGAAGGAAGCAAAATATTTCACCTGCAATAGATAAAATGTTTATTTTGCACATACTGGTGACTCCATGAGAGAGAGAGGACTTAAACAATAGTCTTAGAGACAGTAGCATGTTTTCCAAGTTTGCATGCATTGTACTAGCAAAACATAAAGAACCAAACCAGAAAGTGAAAAAGCAGAAAGAAAAGAAAAACAGAAAGTGAATATCAAATCTCCATATATTTAGTATTATGATTGAAACCCAAATGATGGGGAAAACTAAAATGTCTGCCCAAAAAATATGGGTTGCTTCTGCAAATTTCATGCTATCATGAGGAATCAATGGACTTGAAAGATGAGAGTGCAGATAAGAGAGTCAGGAGATGTCACGTTGCCGGCCAAGAAAATCATGTCCTCTTTGTTCCTCTGATCTGGTAACAAAGAGAGCTGAAGGTCCCATGTTGTCCCGGTAACAGCGGGAGACACTCCCAGACTGCTGAAACGGCGCTACCCAGCCCACACACAGTATCAAAGGTCCGAACTCTGGCCAAGGACTCTCTGGAGCAGAAACATAACTGGGTTTGACACTCACTTTGGCTTCTTTAGGTGACTTAAGGACAGAGGTTTTCAGTTGTGCTTCAGAAGAACCAATCCTCAACATTGATTACGATTTCTGTTGCAAATAGATATATAAAAATTGCATCCATTGTTGTGAGCTAAATTCCAAGCCCAGTCCAACGACAGCCTAAATTGTGGTCATTACCTTTATGAATAGCGCTCAAATTTTATGACTTCTAAATAACACCTCTAATTATACACCTCTTGCTTAAATGTCTCAACTTGCCCTTTCTAAAGAAACCTTTAATTTCAAAACAGGTATTTAATTTTTACAAAAGGAAAATTGGAGTGGAAAGAAAAAAATCTTCAGAGAGCCCTGGGGAATGAAGCTGATGAGAGATCCCAGAAGTTCAAATTCAGATGCCCAGAAATGCAGGGCACATTGGAGGGGCAGGGACATACACCCCCAGGTGTAGCATTTCAGCAGCCTGGGGATCTGAGACTGCTGTGGACTTGTGTGCACGATCTTCATTGCTAACAATGAGACAAGAGCCAGAGAGAACAAAAGCCCAAAGCAGCCCTTATCAAACTATAGAGAAGACCACATGCGTCTTTGTGACAAATTCTTGAACTGTGTCACAGATGCTAATGGCAGACAGACCTCTATGCTACCAACTTATGCTCCTATCTCTTCATGCTCTCTTTTTTGTTTGTTTTTCTTTTTCTTTTTCTT